CACCGCCACGCGCCAGCGACCACAAATTCATCAGGATATTTTATATTCGCATAAACGTGACAAGTAGGTAATCACACAATGACGCAGCAAAGCGTCTCGACGCGCGCGCGAAAGTGCCTAGCCCTGGCTCAGCCTCAGCCAGGCATCGGCCGGCGGACAAAGCAGGGCATATGTTAAGGTCGGCGCGTCCTAGATAACACATAGGCATAACGGCGGCAAGCCCAGTAACGACACAATGACGCAACAAAGCGTCTCGAAGGTGATAAGCGATAAACACCTCAGCGACCGCACGCGCTGTCAGTAGTCCGACCCGACTCCGTCCCAGCTCCAGCCCGGCGTCGGCCAGCAGACGCGGTGAGATAAATGTTAAGGCAGGCGCGCCGCCGAGGACGCGCGCATAAACGCCCCGCCGACCCCAGCTATAAACAAAACCGCGACAGCAGCGCCTCACCCACAAAAGGTACTAAAACAAGAGCAGTGCAAAATCCTAGCCGCGGCCGGGTCACAACAACGCAACAAGGTCCCCCACGACTTTCTTCACACCTATTGCTCAACACAAGCCCAACACAGCGCCGACGTGCAGACATAATAAAACAGCAATTTTTAAAACGTTTTAAATGAAATGCGATATTTGAAACCACAGCATCTCCAAGTAAAACGTTTGAAAAATGTTTGTTTTTATTTCAGCATTTATGGTACATGTATGCGCACACTGGCAACTATATCCGCGCGGCAGACAGGACAATTTCTCACAGAGTTATAACATACAAAGCAGGTACACATATGGCCGCACGGAATCAGCGCGGATTGACAGGGAAGATCAAGACAAATTTTACACTTTATCACTCTCTCCGGCGAGGCGGGAGGGGAGGCCGGGGCGGGCTCATCTCCCCTCTCCTCAATACACGCCTCAGACCACTCCGAGGCGGCATTCACAAACAAAATTCCCTTGTGCACAATTACAAATTCACAAGTCGGAACACTTTTAGCATGCATTTTCCACAGATCACACACAGTAATTTTAGCATGAAGTTTTTGCAGCTTCCCCCCACAATGATGGCACATTAAAGCATCCGAACATCCGGTATAGAAAAATCCCGCTCTTGCCAAATCATTCGGCTTCAATGCTAGCCCCACCGGCCACGTGTAAAATGTCTTCACTCTCGACTCGAAAAGGATATATTTTGGATACAGCGGGTGCACTTGTTCAACAATTCCGAGAGCGCGCATCGACTCTACCGGCGGAACATCGTCAGCCCAGCGAAAACCGGGCCCACAATCAGACGCCTTCAGAGAACTTCCCAGAATTGGTATATTGCCAACAGGTAGGCCTCTCACAAATTCACAAAATGGCGACCACTTCATATGTTGAACGGTAATGTCCACGCCTCTCTCTAGGCGAAAGAGCTCAATATTACAAAAAGCGCACTTAATTACATTGGCGTTAATGTGGTGAAATCCCGCTTTGGCAAGGAGCGACGGACTCACGAAAGACGGCCCAAAATTGTGGAACGTAGCCAGACGACGAGCTTCAGAGTGGAGTCCACGGCGCCACACCGTAAGATGCAAAACACGTCGCGGAGTCGCCATCACTGCAACCAGTGCAACACTACTGCATCGGAGCGGAGCCGGGCCAGACGCCCCAAGGCGCGGGTCCCCACTCCATACACATGGCTGGAAGGGGGTCCCCCCGAGGCGCGGGAGTGCATACGCTTATTCGCCAAAGCGCGTCAGAAGTGTAAGTGAACGTTCAAAGGTGGGAAAACAAAGGAGGGACCCTTGCTGCAGACGCCATCCCTCGCTCACGCCTCCACCTCAACCCCTCGCCCATTTTGCAAAGTATATATGCTCTGGCGATGCAGGGCAGAGGCACACTCATCTCCAGCGCCTACCCCGGCCCCAGCAGCCCATCGCCATACAACAGCCATCGGGAAGCTCTGGTCCAGGACCCCGCCGACGACGCCGCCCCCCAGGACCCCGGGACCTCGCCGACTCCAGGACTCCGAGACCCCGCCGAGTCCACCGTTGACGCCGTCCCCAGGACTCCGAGACCCCGCCGAGTCCACCGCTGACGCCGTCCCCAGGACTCCGAGACCCCGCCGAGTCCACCGTTGACGCCGTCCCCAGGACTCCGAGACCCCGCCGAGTCCACCGTTGACGCCGTCCAGAGGACTCCGAGACCCCGCCGTCCCTAGGACTCCACCGTCGACGCCGTCCCCAGGACTCCGGACCCCGCCGCCGACGACGTCCTCCCCAGGTCCACACCAGCGCGCTCCAGGCAGATGTAAGTAGGAAATTGCACCGTGCGATAATGCCCCGCCCCGCCCC